GAAAGAGCTTTATCTACAACGCCAAGTCAGCCCTAGTCGGCTCCAAAATCAGCTGCGTCAGTCCTACAGATTGACGCCACCCTCTGCTTAAGAAGGGGGTCCCTCCAGACCGAGTCCTTTCTCTATATAAGCTCATGTTTATGTAAATAAACTTTGGCAGAGGAGGTCTAACACACAACATCCCGCTATCTCGTGCACATGAGAGAAGTATAGATGTTGTGCTCGTACAAGAGCCCTGGTAGACTCAGCAGTGCAAGACCGCACACCTGGAATACCGAGAAGCAGGCACAGAAGCAAAATGGAAGTCCTGTGCGAAAGCCCTGAGGGCCACAGTAGCCTCGGCCAAAAGAGAGCACTAGAAAAAGCGAGTGAAGGCCATGCGATCTACGACAGACATATTCGAATTGATGCAATGGTCAAAGCCGAGACTTCCCAAGGTCCCACCTCCGCTTCTGCACGAGGGAAGACCAGTCTCTGACCAAGCAGACCGGGCAGTGATCCTCCGGGACTCTCTTCTCAGAGGGTACTTAGCATCTAACGACATGCCTCCTTGCGCGCACTCAAGCGGTAGATAGATACAATTGGAGATAGAGTTAACAGAAATAGAAGTAAGGAATTGCACCATCGCCAGTGGTAAAACTAGCCCAGGCGTAGATGAGATCTCAGTCAATTTGCTTGCGGCTTGCTGGAATAGCATTGGCACTTACGTCACTCACCTCTTTCTGGCATAACTTAGTCTCGGTCACTACTCCTCGTGTTTGAAACTTGCCGAAGTAGTATTTCTACCGAAGGCCGGACGCGACGGGATGGACACCCATTGCCCTTCTCCCTTATCTTGGAAAAGGCCTAGAGAGGCTAATAGCCAAACGGATGTCACATCTCGCCATCTCATATGATGTGGCATGGCACCAGCAGGTTGGAGCGCTACCAAAACGCTCCGCAACAGATCTCGGTTCCTGCGTGGTACATGATATCGAAGAAGCTCGCTCTCAAGGATGGGCATCGACATTCGTGACAATGGATGTCCAGGGAGCTTTCGATACAGTACTGCACAACCGACTGCTGTGGCAGATGCAAGCACAAGGATGGCCTGACAACATCCTTTTTGCACAATAGGAAGGTTCAAGTTAGATATCATGGGGGGTTACTACCGCGACAAGGTTGGTGTGTGGCATGCCCTAGGGCTCTCCGATCTCACTGCTACATTTCCTGCTCTACATGGCCGAGTCCATGCGAAGCGGAAAAGCTAGGGCACGACTCAGCTACGCTCATGACATTAGAATCCTTGGAATCGGAAGGACTGTGTAGGATTCAGCAACTACAGTGCAGAAGGTGATAGACAATCTTCTGGAATGGGCAAACAATAATGCTGTGTCCTTCGACCCCTTAAAGTCAGAATTGGTTCAATTTTCTGGGAGACACCGTGAGGATACTGTTGGCGTCAAGTTTAAGGGCACTACGATTGAGTCCGCCGACCACATCCGCTCGCTCGGGGTACACCTTGACCCGCGGCTATCCTTCAAATATCATGTGGTAACATGGTGTGGGAAAGCACTTGAGATGTCACAGCACATGCGAAGATTAAACTCAGTCAAGCGGGGAGCTGATCCAGGGCCCCTAATCACCGCAGTCAATGCGTGCGTTGTTCCGGTTGCTACATTCGGAGCCGACGCTTGGTGGCCAGGAATAACCCGACCAACAGTTTCTAGAATTCTTACACCGCAAACCACTCATCTCTGCAGTCTGATACATGAGGCATTAATTCTTGAGCTGGGGGCGGCTTTAACAGTATTGAAGACGAAACCAAATGTAGTTCTGCACAGGTAGGGAGGCATGCCACCAGCCAGGGTGCTGCTCGAAGGAAATTGGCTCAGGCTAGCTGCGTGGCTTAACATTCTCGACAATCGCCACCCGTTACGTGGTCAAGTTAGCGTCTGTCCCAACATTAGTGCACAAAAGTACAATTTGAAGGCTAGAACAAGCAAAAAACCGGAGGCTCGGATGACTCGGATCCAACGAGCACTTCGGCAACTGCCACTAGCAGAAGTTTATGATGCGGAGATAACGGGAGCAACAGCCTCACTTCAAGCTGCACTAGCTGCCAAAAACCCTGGCAAGAAGATCTATGTGCTGCTAGACAACTAAGCCGCTATGTGCGCACTCCAGATGAGATAATCCTCATCCTACCTCCGAACAACGTGGGTCTTCAATGAAGTCGCACGAAAGGCGAAAGTACAAGTCAGGTGGGTACTAGGGCACTCAAAGATAAGTAGAAATGAAGAAGCCGATGCTGCAGCACGCTCAGCACTCTCGACGCCTACTCCATAAGCTTATAGCTACTCAAGGGGGGCACAGAAATTTTGCGGCATACCACCGTCGATTTCATCATGGTGACGCCACACTAGGATGTGTTTGTGGGTTGGAAACTACACCAACCAAATTTATTCGCCGCCGAAGACACGCCAGCCAGATGCGTAGTCTTAGAAATTATATGCCAGTAGAATTATTTACGAGTCGACTTCTTGGTCACAACTACGTCGCAAAGTTCACTGAGCTTGCAAGGATAAAGGGCTATTTCGGGAGCTTGCCTGCACACACTTCCTCATCTGGATGCGAGGATCGCAGTTATTAGTGTTGTAATGGAAGTTGTATAGAGAAGCGTAAGCTGTTAGGCTTGTATTTAATATCACCTAGTGAAGCGAGTTGGGAGATTGAAGAGTATGAAAACTATAGTGGAGAGTTGTTGATTAAACCCACTTAGTATCAGAGCGCTATTTAAGCTAATTACTACGTCTAAGTGAAGGACACAATTCACTTGTTTATGCTAAATAATTGGGAGGCTGGTCAATGTATGAGTCATCATGAATGTGGCTAGTAATAATAGAACCTTATTACGTTCCGTATTAATGCGCCTCTTCATTGCCAAGTAGCGCCAATTTCAACAATTAGAACGCCAGTAGCTAAGGAGTGGTGGAGGGACTTCAGTGTGAGGGACACTGGGTCGGTTCCTATTATGTTATTTTTTTATGTTTTTTGTAATTAAATCCTCTTGTGATATTAGATAGGGGTATAAAAAGTGTGATTCCTACCGAGTCCACCGGTCTCGTGCCACAAGGCACTGGGCTAGAGCCTGAGACTTCATAAAATCATCATCATCATCACTATTCACAATCTAGTCTGGTCTCCCCTGTAAGATTTGTATTAACAGGTACTAGTGTGGCTCTACTTCTATGACGAGATTACACAGCGTATATGATCGCTCTTGCGTCTGAATGACAGCTTAATGATATTTTTATTGTCTTGATTTTTTTAATTCGTTTTATTGTCCTGTCTGAGTCTATGACTATGTAGGACATGCAGGTCCTCTCTGCCTACAGGCCAAGGATACCTATGCCACTAGCATATCCCCTGCTATGCCTCCCATACAGCTACCCTCAAATAGCACCACCCCTCACAAGCCCTCATTCGATCATATACTTAGAGGAGCCCTTTAACCTTCATCATCTCCCCTCACCAGCCAGCGAAACGGTGGCCATTTGCCGGTGTATGGCAGCCGGAAAAAATCGCATAAACCACTGGGTGCGGAGCTCTTCTAATACCGACATTAGGACTAAATCCGAAGATATAGTGACCCTTCTGAAGCGTTCGAGGAGGCCGGCTAGCTGAGCACCGCAGACTTGTGTGTACCCAGGGAATTTAACACTTTGTCTTTCTAGCCTCCTTCCAACTCCTTCCCGAAGGTCGTGCTGAAATGTCAGAAAAGTCTCGACAGAGCGTGATTGCTGTATGGTAGCTTAGCCCAACTTCTTTTGTGCCGTCCAGGGCGCTGGGGGTGCCGTTTACTCATCGACAGAAGAAGCCCTCCTGGCTAATTAGCCGAAATCTTGATCTTGGCGCCCACACACGTTCCAAAGCTGAAAACCCCTCGAAAATATCGATCACAGCATGATCTTCAGAGACTTATTCCCACCCTCGCTCCACATTTCAACCGCCTCCTCTCTCTCAAGTTGCTTGTCCCATTAGAGCAACAGTCCCCCATAAGCCAGGACCCAGGCTTTGTATTTTTCGACTTGATTTCCTTCTTGCGGATATAAATAGCGTCGTAAATGTATAGTGAGAGATGGCTGGAAATTAATGGGGCAAGCTCCTGTTTGCAATTAGAGCAAATTCTTGCTTAGTCGCCGAGGCGAGATGATGCGTGGTTAGAAAGAGGTTGAGGACTCAGATGAGAATGATAAGAGAGGCATTGTCGAGAACTCGTTAGATGGAGATATGTTTGAGATTGCTTCCGACTTTGATTCGGATGCGATTCTTCTTGGTTGTCCCATATATGCAGAGCATACTGAACGATTACACCAGCACCACTGGAAGGTTAAGAATTCGTCTTTTCCGGCTAGTGTCTTGATCCACACCTTTCATAAAAAATCAAGTATTTAATTAATTCTTCTCCGCTCTGATTTAAGTGGTCCTCTATCTCCTTCAACATGACAACAGAAATAACGTTGTCTCCTTCTTTTCTCCTCTCTCCTCCCCCTTCCTCTACTCCAAGCGCCTCGCTAATGAGCTAAGTCAGATTCCTGTTAGTGTCCTAACAACAACAACCTGAATACTGCAATTAGATAGAACATTTCATACTGCCCAAGTATGATCCTTTTACCGACACTGGTAACAACCAGATGTCTTTGATATTGTACGAATCCTTATCATACCTCTCTTTGAATCTACCTGTTAAGTTCTAATTCAATCAAAGTTCTTTTGGTCAAGTTTTGTAGTACCTCAGAGAATTTACTCATTTCTTTCATTGAATCAGCTGGATTTTAATCTCTTGGCATCAACTTAATTTCGGATATTCCTTGAGACTCATATACTTTGCGCAAACACTTCACGTCATTTATGAAAACTTTTCTTGTATGTGGTTGCAATTAAGATGATACAGTCAAAAAGTGATTGTGACTCGGTGCAGATAATCATGGAAGCAGGGCTTCAGATATCTAGGCCAGTCAATTTATAGACGGATACCCAAGGTGTCTATGAAGTTGTTGTAACTTATAGCAATAAGTTTTTTTTATGAAGAATGCTTCTGGGTTTGAAGAAAAACACTTGGGATTGAAACTAGTCCTATGTGCTAAGTCTAACAGCTTGGTTACTTCCGCACTAGTTTCTTTTTCCCACTCCCTTTTCCTTTTTCTCGATAGTCCTCCTTTACTTTGTGACTCTGAGTTTTCAGTTTGGATCCCTTGCGGGGTTTTGCCACTTTTGATTGTTTCAAAAATAAATTTGGGAGGGCTTTTTTTCAAAGCTTTCTCCACTTTATTGCGAATGGTCTTTGCGAAATCAGACGGACTTGTATCAGGTATATTCGCGTCTGAATCCACCTTGTGTTGAAGTTTGCGCTTTTTATATGCACTTTCTTCCATCTGTTCTTGTTGCGCCAGAGCTCTGGCTTTTTCGCACATTGGATTGCCTATGGCGGTCAACTCTCGACTTTCGGATGACATATAAATCAGAGTCGATTCAGAATTGTCGTAGTACAAGGCTGCCAACATGGCATTCGTCAACTCGGTGAGTTTGGCGTTGAGAACCTCTTCCGACTGTTCTTTGGCGAAGACGGCTAGCTCTGCTTCCTTCTGTTCACTGAAATTCGTTGACCGCGTGCTCGAGCCATGCTGAGCCGGCTTGTCGCTCACCGCTATTCGTGAAGATCGATGAAAATTGAATCTTAGGGGCCTTGAGCGATCCCAAAACTCAAGGAGGAAATCTCCCCGACGTCCGATGGTCTCGGAAGTGTTCGATTGCCGACTTAGCATTATCTCACTTCAGTTAGGTGGCATACACTTTCTTCAGCAGTATCTTTATCCCAGGAGTAAGTGAGGGAGGATAACAAAATCTGAAAATATCATCAATCGAACTGGCTATCCATAGTGAATCCTCCGAACGACTCGTGAGGGGTGTCGAAATGACTGGAATGGCGTGGGAACCAGGCATGGTTTTGATTGAGAAATTTAAGTCGAGGTTCCAAAAAAGAAAGGGTTAAGGTTTAAAATTTTGGCAAAAAGATTTTTTTTGAAGTATACATGTGTAAAATCCATGTAACAGAAGTATAAAATAACGGGAATATCCGCACGTACGAAATAGAATTTTATAAACTCAATTGAGGTTGCCAAGTTACTTGACCCAATTAATGAGGTGTATTGCAAACCGTCAACGTGAGCGAGCGGGTCTTTTGTGGCACCTTGATTTTGTGGTCCTGATACTGCATGCTGGAGTGATTGATTCTTCTAGCGTTTATTCTTCAGTTAAGTGATGAATAAATTCAAATGACGTTAAAACTTGCTCTTCTTCAGCTTTCTTGACTTCAATATCCTCAGTTGTTGCATCGTTTATTTGAGTGTTTATTCCCCGTTTTATTTCATTATTATCCTGGTTACACTCGGTATCTATACGCACAGAGCAATTTTCTGCATTAAATTCACTCTTCTTTAAATTTATTTCTAAAATTTTGCCGTTCATTCTCTGAGTGATTCAAGGACCAACATCCTTTTGCGCCACAAACATAACAAGAGCGCTTATTTGTCGCTTTGGGCTGGTTTTTAATGGAAAGTGGCTTGTATTTCTGGTCTCTGGAGGGTTGAGGTCGGGATGATGGCTTGTTTATACTTACAAGTGTGTTTCGTTTAGATTGTGGCTCAAACAGAACTCGTCGGTAGTGAGTATTGAACACTAGCTTTTGGGAATATGTCTCTGTTACCTCCTCTTCAACTTTGTGTTCAAATATGGTTGGTTTCCGAAAGAGATTTCTTGATAAGCTTTCATCCTCAAATTTTCCAGAAGGCTATAACACGCGGTTGTTGAGAGTGCTTGGCCAGGTTATTTCCTCTTTTACGGCGGCCATGAGAGCCTCAATTATCTCTGCTTTTGTCCTTTCTGTTTCAACATATACACCATTATTACGAGGAACTTTCCGTAGTAATATAAGCCTATTGTAGTTGCAGAGTTCGGAATCTGTAAATTCCCTGTCTTTGAACGAGTCACCAAAATATCCTGATAAATCCGATTCAGTATAATCTCTTGCCTCACAGTCTTCCATTTGCTCAACAATAAATCAGTTTCTACCATCTTTATCACTCAATTTGCCGGGATCTAAGGAGGACAATGCCATTCTTGAAACTATAATTTTCTATTAACAATTTTGAAATTCCGTAGGAACGCATTCAAGAACTTCCTATAGTAAAAGAATTTCTTTGGTGTTGCTGATCTGTTCTCACTGATCAGTATTGGTAAAGCACAAAGTAATACAAATTGGGTGCCGTCACGAAGTCGGTGAATAAATTCAATTAACTGGTATCTCGAAATACATAAAACGTTGTCTCCATTTCTCCTCTCTCCTCCCTCTTCCTCTCCTCCAAGCGCCTCGCTTATGAACTAAGTCAGGTCCCTGCCAGTGTCCTGACAACAACCTGAATACTGCTATTACATAAAACAACTTACACTGCCCAAATATGATATATTTACCGACAGTAACCGTTCATAATAGCCCCGGAAGTCTATTGTTCGAGTAAACCCAAGCCATAAACCCTTCTAAGACCTATGTATGCCGAAGCTAGCTCTGACTGTAACTATCCTAGACGTATGTCAAAACTGGTGCTGAATGGAAACTCGATCGCCTCTACGTCCCGAGGTCCTGTACAATGCGAAAGCGTAACAGACTAACACTTTCCTCATCACCCTAACGAGGATTCCCAGTCGCTCTCGCGGTCTATATAATCTATATCTATCAGCACATCTCCCTGGCACCATTGTCACGAAGTCAACCAAAATGAAACCAGATAGTAGAGTCGAAGCCCTGCCTACGATCTTCATCACTTGGTCGTTCCAGTTCCCGATAATACAGTTATGGACTGGATCAAGATGACCTTTAATGTCATAAAGGGTAATATAGATGGATATGCGCACCCCATGTGTTCTAGGTACCTAGGCCTCACCTGCCTGACGCTGCAGGTTTTTCCAATCTATTTCCCACTCACGCAGTTTCTATTGATACCATTTTGATTTTTTTTGGGTAGAAGGTTCCGTGGAAAAGGTGGCTGAATTCCACGGGTTAACACTAAGCTGAATGGCTATTTATCACAGGCGATCTATCAATGATCTTTCAAGTAGCAAAAAAGAATAGGAGCACTATGCAAGGTGTGGCCTGGCTCAAAGAGGGATCAATGTGCTTGATTTTCGATGAAGCAGCTTGAACAATAAACACTCACACACAGCTCCACTTAGCTTTGCACTTTTAAAATACGATCCTGAAGATCGTGTTTCTCAGTACGTTAGCAGGAAGCCTATATCTCGCTGCAACAGTTGTAAAACAATTGACAATAGTTTTAATACGAGAACGAATAAGGGGTTCTGGCCGAGTGGTTAAGGCGCTGTGTTTAGGTTTCATCGAACCGCAGTGGGAAACCGCGCAGGTTCGAATCCTGCGGACCTCATGTTTTGATTTTGAGATAACTCGCTGCGACTGCATGGTGCTAGTGCAGCTGTGTGAACCTCAAATTTTTACATGTCTAAATCAATGACTACATATGACATGCAGGTCCTTTCTGCTTACGGGCCTAGAACACCCATCCAGGAGTGTATCCCCTCCTGTGCATCCCAAACAGCTCCCCTCAAACGGTACCGCCCCTCACAAGTCCAAATTCGATCATGTACATAGAGGAGCCCTTTGTCATTCATTATCTCTCCTCCACAGCCAATGAAACGAAGGCTATTTACAGGTGCAGCGCGGTCGGAAAAACTTGTAAATTTCACTGGATGCGGAGCTCTCTAAATACTGACATTAGGACTAAATCCAAGGACACAGTGACCCTTCTAAAACGATTGATGAGGCCGGCCAGCTGGGCACTGCAGACTTCTGGGTACCAATAGACTCGTAATGTACGTGCGAAAAGTGCTCTATGATAACTGCACTTATCATAGTCCTTTATCAGCCAAGGAGCTTGAGACAATATTCTTACACATGTTTTGGGGACTAAACACTGATGGCTTCAAATATGGCGGGATATCTCCCGGAGCATAGTCCTTAACATCTAATAGTAAATATTAAATGAACAAAGTTGGAAACTTCAAAATTAGCGAGAGTTTAGTTGACGAACTCTAGAAGTCCTTCATAGTATTAGACCAGAAGTGGCCAAAATAAATTTATAACTCTCTCTTAGCAGGATACGAGCGTAATCCTTGTGGTAGCTCTGCGTCAAGAGACGATAGCATCCGTGTTTGATAGGGGCTTTTGGCGCGCCACTTTTGTTGACATTCGCCTAGAGTAGAAAATATTAGGTGGTCAAGTACCGCATGATAGCCCAGGCAAGTGTAATCAAGATCTTAGGTATATACCCAAATCCGCAGGATACACTTAACGAGTACACCATAGTTTGGTTCAGATCATAGCTGGAAAGCTTTATGCGCAGTCTAACCGACACAGAAAGAGTTGGACTGAGAGCCGACTACTGAGACCTCCGCCGTAAATAGCGAGAGCACGGAACGCGAGCCGGCCGAGATCTGGATGCAAAGATGGAAGGCGACCTGCCAAGCAGCTGCTCCTCGTAACCTCTCATTCGTAGAGAGGGTCGATCTTGTCGGAAACCCTCAGACGATACAGATGGCGAGTTCTAGATTCGAGAGTCTGAACTTCCAACAAATAGGTGGGTGCGGAAAAGTTCGAGAGTGATGGCGGTAGCGAGCTTCAACATTTAGCTGGGGAGGGCAGGCTCATTGACTCATCAAAGCGTCGGACACTTTTCGCGAAACTTGGCGTGGCTATCTCTCGCAGGGACAAGTATTTTTCGTAGTCGCCTGGAGACGACGTCTAACCATGGGAAGGATCAGATAGCTGAATCCGACAGTTTTCGACTTTTCCGCCTTCCTGGCTCAATAATTCTGAATGCTACTGTCGCCCGCTTGACTCTAGTCAATGAGAGTGGTTCGTTGATTCGTACAATCTCTTCATTAGGCGAAGAATTTTATTATGTAGCCCTGTGCTATTCACAGACCCAGACAAGGTTCACTTGTAGGTCTGATATATGGGCATATTATATCAGTCGCATACGGCTAGAGCGACGGTTTTTACATTCTATTTATCGATAGTCATGGTTAGGCTATCACTAATTTTATTTCAAGCCGGTCGACCTTTAGCTGAAAATAGATTTGGTCAGGTCTAATACAAACTTCACCTATCATATCTTACATTGCAAATAGTGGAAAGATTTAATATTGTGATATTGATTAGATACCGAAAATGATCGTGTTAATATATTAAACAAATTCATCTGAAAGGATGGCCAACATATACCGTAAACTGTATGACGAGGGCTAACTAAGTAGGAGAACGCCACTTCCCAATGAATGAACACAAACTCCCATCTCTTACCATTAGCATTTGGTGCTTCGAGTATTATTATACATGACATGCAATTTCATACGCAAAATAAAGAATCAGTCCAGTTCTACTCCGTTTAGTACATCCATGATAAATGAATCTTCTTGACAGCTTAGTGCAGGCGGTGAACACGTGTCAACGGTGGCCTTAGCAGCACTACCATTGCATATGTCCATCTCGACCGCTTCGTCGATGATAGTGTCATCAGGGACGAGCAAACTCTTGTCGACTGCATCGAGGGTGTCTATTGTCTCAAGGATGATCTCTGTGTCGAAGTCTTCGGCCTCACTTCGGCCGCCTTCACTCTCAGTTTCTGGTGGTGTAATTTCACCGATGTTGAGCAGAGGTCGTGCCACGTGGTTAAGATTACGTTTGAGCATACAGGTCTCGATAGTGACACCAGGTCCAAAGGCGCAAGCAACCACGAAGTCTTTGACTTTTCCACCTGGAGCACATTCATCCATATCTTTATCTCTAAATCGTGAGAGGACTGAAAATATCGTGGCTGATGATGAGTTGCCATGGTTCATGTAAATATCGTAACTTCCCCGCATGTGTTCAGGAGTTAGACCTAATCTTCGTTCGACACCAGTCAGAATTGTGGATCCTCCTGGATGGAGAGCCCAATCAAAATCAGCAGCTTGCTTGTAGTTTGGTGGTAAGTTTGGTAACGATTTCATGAGTGCTTCGAAGCTAGGACCGACTATTTCACAAGCGAGCCTGGGAACCTCAGGAGAAAGAGCGACTTTCCAACCTACTAGACTTAGTCTACTAACAGATTTGAGTGAGAGATTTTTTACCGTTTGGATGAGCATCAAAGCGCAACGCTCTGTGCGAATCGGGGATAACCCTGTGATCCCAACCAAGTAGTTCATAAACTGGTTCGGCCTGCTGCGGCCCGAGGCCGTTACTGAGAACAAGAGCGCTTCCACAGTCACTAAAAAGAGTTACGCCAATTCTTGTTTCCTGAAGTTCGTATATGCTGTCGAGTTCACTCCGTATTAAGAGACTGCAAATTTCAGCAGCAACAACAAGTATCCTAGCAGGACGACCACGGAAAGTATGTCCGAGCGCCAAATTTGCTGCGGTTCGGAGACCAGCCAGACCTCCACTGCATCCAATACCCTGAAGTAGAACTTTTTCCACTGGATGAGTTATTCCCAAGTCTATCATAAGTTGGTGATCGAAACCGGGGTTAGCGCTGTTAGTACATGTCGTGGCGACAATGTGAGTGATTTCGGCTGGAGATATCTGAGCTTCGGCGAGTGCTTTTCTAGACGCAGCTACGGCCATCCCCACACCGTCCTTTCGGAAAACTTCGCACAGTTCAGTGATGTTGGGAGCACGATCCATGTTTGCCAGAGGATAGTCGGCCGGTCCGATGGCAGAGCGCGATTCTATACCAGTGTATCGGTTGATCATACAAACTTTGTCCATGCTTGGAATTTGTTTAGAAGAGAAGATTGATGTTTAGGAGTACTCACGCTGCATTCTTGGGATAGTGACGTTCGCACATTTTCTGTAACACAGATGCGTCGTGTACAAAAGGAGGATACTCGGAAGCGACTCCGAGGATGGAGAGGTTAATCTCATCAAAAGTTGTATCAGCCATTGTAAAGGCGGTAGAGTTAACGATAGAGATGTCAGGTAATAATCGGTACTTTCAAATGTCTGAGTTGTGATATGCTCGTATGGATCGAGGTCAGACGAGCGGGTGTAGCGTAAACGAAGGACTATTGCTAGATTGAAGCTGTATAATGAAAATTTGACGACAGCCTGATCAAAAAACCCGAGGGAGGCTTGTTGTGAGAAGTATGATAAAAACAATTGCCCCTAACTATGTAAAGGCAGGGGGCGCTACTGTATTTATCGTTCACAACGCGATCATTGTACTGTCTTCAGGATTATGATCGCCACGCATTGGCATGGTTCTAGGGGCCCCTTTAGAGACAGGGTAGGGCTCCGGGGCTTTGAAGGAGATGCTGGAGACCTGGTCAGTTGCCTTTCTCAGTGCTGTGGCCCCATCGAGGGGTTCAACTCGGACCTTCCATCCGAAGGCCTCCCATCATCAGCGCCGATTCGGATTTTGGGCTCGACAGTAGCCGCTCTGTCACCTAGAGTAACGAAGGGAGCTTTGTGTCCACAGACAGCCTATCGTGCAACTGTCAGCAGCATGTCATGCTCCGTTGCTTTGCTTAGCCTCTCCTCTGGCGCATCACTGCCCCCGGGACCAGGCCTGGCTACGACAACAATTGCGACAATAGAACTGAAACCATACCATTTCAGAAGAAAAGAAGAAGCCGCAGGGTCATTCCTCTATACACTGAATCACACATGGCATGCAACAGCTAATCTTGCGGGCCAAAGCTACGATCCCGTCTGCCCGTTTCCCACGTCTGCATACCCGACTAGCTTTTCACTTTCAACAACGCTACACAACGCATGAATCCTTTTTTCAATGTATCATGTTCAGGATGGATAGAATCGACCGGCAACCTCCCCCTCACAAAAGCCGCGTGACGTGATTCAATACCTACATCCAGGCTTCATTTGCCCAGCAAGTCTTGGTCGAGTCACTGCCGTCGATCTCCTTCTATTTCCAGTCATTAGCCTGCTTCAACTTGCCCGGGCTCCACTACCGCATGCAATCTTTGGAAAGTTTACAGTCTTTCTATTCGCCCGTTATGCGATGGCGTTGATCACTTTATTTGCGTGCTGCTGATCATATCAGCCAGCACGACCCCGGTGTTATAGCAGTCTCATATCATTCTCCCCCTGATTGAAACTTCGACTAGGTTCTGAGCTGTCACTACACGTCCCGCGCCATTCTAACGCACGCCTCGCACCTCGGGCGGGTACCTCCCTGCACTCATCCCCGGACCCGAACAGCTAGGAAGCGCGAGAGATGAGGAATGCGCGAAGCTCACAGGCTCGGTCGGCCTAGCATTGACAGATGCTGCACTATTTAGAGTCTACTTGCAGCATCTTTTCCATGGCGGGGCCAGCAGGTGAGCCAGAGAAAAATTGAGTTTGGCAGGATGAATTGTAACTGTTGTCGGGTTTTTGTTTTTGCTCTCGTTTTCTTGACAAATTGAGCTGTCACCCGGGATCCATTTTCATTTGACATAATTTTCGATAATACAGTCTAACCCAGTAAGTATCGGATCTTACTAATTCCAACCGAGTTGAGGGGTGAGCTTCGCTAGCTCCGGCCGTCAGGTTATCGCTAGGCAATGACATGACGAGCTAGCCATCTGTCCAGGCCAAGATCAGCTCGTATTCCCCCCACCCATCTTTTCTTTTCCTCCCAAATAGTCCGCTAACGAGACGTTTGACACAGCCACTCGGAGAAATCCCACCAACTAGCCCTACACAACGAATCCGCGGCGAATCGTGGTACTGTTACAAAGATCAGCTTCTCGACGGGCCTTTTCGGCTGAGTGTAAATGACTATGTGTTCCCGCGGTCTGTCGATACGTTAGACAATAATGTACGAAATTAGTGATAAGAAAACGGAGACAATCAACGCTCGTGCATCTACAATTCACTCCGTCGCCTATTTGAGGCCTCTGTCTCCCTATATCGCCTAATGCTTGTTAATGTGAAATAAAAAGTTGTGTTTGTTACAGCTAGCAATGAAGCTGGTCCGATTTTCCTATACAATTAGGTTGCGCATTTCTCATCTAGTCTAAATAATTAACGGTGTGCATACCCCTCTGAAAACCATCAAAGCCTTCACGACCATAAGGAGTATATCACGTTTTACTTTTCATTCCAATTACGCTATGCACTTAATCTCTCGAATGCACATCGTACATGGCCAATGAGGAATTCTGTTAGGGGAAAGTGTAGGGATGTTGTAACAACAGCTTGATACTACGCCGGACGGTTTAGCAGCAATTCAAGTTAGCAAGCGCTCTTAAGATTGCCACCTCTTGCAACCCTGCACAATACGGAGAATTGAGAAGGGGTGATTTGCGACAACAACGTAAACCCAAAGTGTAGGAAGTCGTTGACATTCCTTGAAAGTAGCGCCTAAAACAAAGTGACTTTTTAAAATCTACCGTGTGCTTTAGTACAACCGGAAAACTGAGATGGTCATGCATAGACGTGATTAGCTTTGGGTGATATGCGTAAAGCGTGAATGTCCAACATTGGACTCGCAGTTTCAGGGAACCTGTGTGGGCGTCTGGTTTGCTAAGCTGGTAGGGACACTCGATTAGGCTTATCATTGCTATAAAATACAGATACGAGCTAATCTTGCTCGGGAGCTACGGGAGGTAGATGATTCCTGAGAATAATATGCCCATAGTCCCTGAACTTCATGAAAGTGGATTAGAGACCTAATTATTCGCCGGGGTTGCAGCTCTGGCAACACTGAATTCATCCATCACACACCGTCAGAAGTGGCGTCAAGACCTTTTCTAGAAGATGGAATGCGTTTGTGTGTAGTGACTAAAATATGCTTTACATTGAATACACACTATCTACATTCAGTGACAAATGTTATAGGGCTTTTCGAATGGCTTGAAACTTACTTTACAGATCTCCACAGCTTGGAAAACTGTAGTATTTCAGACATCAAACTATGGATACCCTTCGCAGCTTTGGCTTGATTTAATGGACAGACAAAGTGAAACGGCTACTACAGCCTGCCATTCTAGAATCGTAGCGGTTGTACCTCTCGAATACACTGACTACATTGTACGTTGTGTTTGATCTCACTAGTCCAAACTGACGGTGCCGTTAGTCTACAATGACGCATGGGAGGCTATTAATCTGATCAGATAAATATCGTAGCTACTTGTGATTAGGTCAGATCTGTTGCCATCGGTCTAATTTTAGTCAAAGAGCTTATGAGAGACTAGAGTCATTCTCGGAATAAAGTCGACAGCAAATCATCAAAGCCTACTTTTTGAAAGGGATAATGGACGGGCAATACAAATGAAGCCGCAATGGGCGCGAGGTGCAGCTTAAGTGACTGGGATATGACCGAAGTGAACAAGCTTATTCCGTGTTCTTGAGGAGAGGTATTATCTGCAAATAATGCTCGAAGATCAGATGCAAATGGCTTGAGCTCTTCTAGAACGCCTTTCCTTCATGGTGATCAGACGGAACTGACGCATACAAGGAGTCATGACCTTTCCTATCACATGACCAGCCTTCAGGAAAAGTCGAGTCCAGTGACATTGCGAATATTCTCGGCCGCGCGACGGGCTCGACGTCATGGCCATCAGGCGCCCCATGCAGATGTTTTCAACGCCAGCTGAGGCACCTGGATACAGCTTACAACCGCGCATGCGGAAAGTTTGGTAGCGGATTGGCCGGGCCTTATTTCAGATGTGACTCTACTTCTCGTCGACACGTCTAATTGACGCTCACGTGCGAATGGCTTGGATAACCCTAATGCAAGGAGACAGTCGTCGGTCCCTCTGCCACGCTAGCGGAAGGTTTCAAAGCGTAAAATGATGGTGTGTCGGACGCGCGCACACCATACATTTCGTGGCAGCTTGATGCCATTGAGCGATCAGCCGCGCTAAAGACTCCACGGATTTGCTGGCTATCAAGGAGATTGCAGTTTGTGTCCGCGCGATCCGCTGTCGCCTGAAATACCGGGCTCGGTCTTTGATTCACGCGTAGGCCGCAATTTTACTTGACCTGCGCAAGAGACATGGTTCCGACGCCAATTATGATTTATGCCCAGCCAACTAGACATATCCGGGACCCGTTCCTCGTGCGACTCCATAGGCTAGACAGGCATGAGTATCTCCGAGTCCTCATCCTATCACGTGAGAGTGTGCAAAATCGAGAGCTGCTTCGGGTTCCAGGACGAGACGGGAGGAACCTCGTCCCTGCGAGCGCTCAGACGAACTGAACTGTCTGCGACATTGAGACCTGACGTGCCCTGCAGAGGTAATATTGGTTGTGACTTGTCAACCCACCACTCAATGGAGCAGAATTTTTCGAAGGTCAATCACATCCCCACGCGCCACCTCAGTATGGGGATCCTTCCAAAGTCTCGTCGGCTATATAATGGGTTTGGTGACTTTCTTTAAGCAGCGTCTGCTCCAGCGCGATCCGAGCAGACGTCGTTAGGGTTACCTTGTTCTCCCCGCGACCTACCGCTAGCCGGAAATGGTGAAGATTTCTTCGCCCGCCACACACGGCTCCAAAAACCGACTGGAGAATTATGGTGAGCTGGCTATTCAACACGATTACTCTTCCACCAAGCTGTCGCGCCGAGTCCGGAATTAAATTACAGAGACGAAGATGCCTTCGATTGGAGCGTCCACGATTGCCTAGTGGCAAAACTTCTTTTTAAAGTCTTGTTAATCTCCTGAGTTAGCCGGCTGTAAGGACATGGTTTTTCCTGCCACCTACCCGAAGCTAACCGCGTGTGTTCATGTGTTGTGCGGGAAGACTAATCTCCAAGGTCAGTAGTTGTCTCATCATATCGACTCAAGTTCGGGCGAGCCTACTCTATCCACTAGGCCAAATATGGTTTCATATGAAGCGGGCAGGAATTCTTCATTAACCAGGGAATAATCATCGAGGTACAATGATCTCGATGCACGCATGGTAATTCGTTGTCGTAGAGGTGACAATGCATCG